ATGGGTTTTAGTCTTAAAAACTTAGCAGCCTCACATTTTCTTACTTCATTTTACATCCACACCACACACCTCATTTAGTAACCTCTCTACCTTGAGTGGCTCTTGAACCATGTGAACATTAGTTAAAAAAAAAAATCAAGATCTTTAGTGTTAAAATTTTTAGTTTTTATGATTAAAACCATTCATCATCCTGGGTAAGACGATAAACTACATCTGTATCCTGGGTAAGACAATAAAATACATCCAACAGCAAGGCCTCTGGATCAGGAGGTTTTGAGGAGCGTGGAACCAGCTCTTAATTGCTGATTTTCCCAGGTCCACCCTGACCCAGGGCAGTAGCACCTGTGAGGGTCCCAGCTATGGGAAAATAGTTGACCCCCAAACTCAGGTCAAAACACTATGAAAATATTTTTGTAAATGTCAACCAGCAATGAATATATTTGAAGAAAAAAAATATTACTAGCAATACATTTTAAAAAAAAAAAAAAATTAGCAGCAATAAAAATCTTGTCAGCATTAAATAACTCATGGAGGTTGATAAGCTGTAAAACAAACCAAGCTGTCAAATTCATTTAATTTAAATTAGTAGCATTTAGAGTATTTTAATGTTCACAATTCAATTAGATCAATCAATTTCTGATAAGATTACATGAGACAGGGTCTAAAAATCACAAAAAAGCCATTAGTACTTTATATTATATATATATATATATATATATAATGTTGCCAACATATATATATATATATGTGTGTGTGTGTGTGTGTATTGCCAACATTATTTACATTATTCAGACTATTGTCCTCATCTTTGTCACCATATTTATTACAACATTTCGGCCATTGTACACTTCTTCTTCAGGTGGTTGGAATGTCGAACTGAACCCTTTATTTCACTCACTGTTCTAGTTCTACATGCCATGTTTAATGGATGTCAGTTATCAGTTATCTCCTGTTAATTTTCCTTCCGAAAGTTCTCCACTGCCTTAGCCAGGTATTGAACTCACACACTTTGGGTCCTGTCACTGGATCTGGATTTATCCACTGTGCCATGTGTCCTTGTGGACATCTGTGTATAAATTTCTGGGTATTATAAACCTAATATCTTCAGCAACCATTTTTACCAGTGCTCATATTGCAATTTTTGCTGTTATCATTCCATGTTTTTACCAGAGCTCATATTTCAACTTTTGTTGTTATTATTGCACTCCTTATTACTGGTTCCCATATTGTATTTATTTCTATGCTTGGTTGGCTCAGGAGATTTTTGTAGCATAGCATATGTGCTGATTCCTTAAGTTTACAAATTAAACATGGCACGTGGAACTAGAACAGTCTACCCCAGTGAGTGAAATAAAGGGTTCAGTTCGACATTCCAACCACCTGAAGAAGGCCTGAGTGTACAACAGCCGAAACGTTGTAATAAATATGGTGACAAAGATGAGGACAATAGTCTGAATAATGTAAATAATGTACATAATACCTCATCTCAGAAATATATACAGATATGTTGCCAATGTTGTTGGATTCTATGTCAATGCCTCTAAGAACTGAATTCATAAGCTACAACCAGCAAAGCTCAATATAAACTGTCTCAGGTGAATCAATAAAATCTGTTGAATATTTTACATACCTAAAAAGTGAGATAAATTCTACTGAAAATGATGTGTAAATATGGATAGCTAAAACTAAAGCCTGGGTCGTATGAATAAAATGGATATAATCTAGAAATTTGAATAACCAGACAACCACAAATGGAGATTCTTTGACACCACTGTAGAGGCAGTTTTAATGTATGGTGCCATTGCTTGGACATTAACTAAAACCTTAGAGTCTAAGCTTGATGGAACCGACACTTGGATGCTGAAAGCTATACTTAACATCTCTTGGAAACAACATCCAACTAAATCACAGTTCTATGGAATTATCCCTGATATTTCTACAATCTCATGAGAACAAAGTGTTACTGCTGGTCAGTAAAACAAGAATTTGAAAGTGATCCACTGTTCTGGCTAGCCATGAAGCAAGACAGGTTGGTCACCCAGCAGCAACCACCTGCATTGTCCAGCTATGATAGAATGCCACTTTAATGACATGACTTTAATGCAGGACAGAGATGACTGGCATGATAGACTCATAAATGTCCGAGCTAGCTAAATTTTATATTGTTATAACTGGAATTTTTATGGAGAGAATAACACATCCTCCTCTTCACTACCTGAGGCATCTGACCTCATACCATATCAAGTTAAGAATTTGATTTTTCTTGTTTTTTTTTACGACTTATCATCCCATTGTGTGTTATTTACAACATGTTAGAGTGTAAGAATAATTACTTTTTAGTGAGAGAATATTGCATTATCTTTTTTGACAATAACAATGACTTTTCCAGATACAAATCCTACTATTTAATCCATGCTAGGGAGGAGATTGATTCATAATTTTCTCCAAGTGTATTTGCCTGTAAGCGAATATAATTAACCTGATTGGAATTCAAACTGATTCTCATTCTGAGCCGCTACTCATCACGCCACCCACACATTCTGAGCCGCTACTCATCACGCCACCCACACATTCTGAGCCGCTACTCATCACGCCACCCACACATTCTGAGCTGCTACTCATCACGCCACCCACACATTCTGAGCCGCTACTCATCACGCCACCCACACATCCAACTAAGCTATCTTGTCAAAAAATAAAAGAACTGAACATACAAAGTGTAAATAAATTAAAATTCATTTAATTTGTGTCTTTCTTTACAAAAAAATAAATGGGCAGTCACATGAAATTCTTCACTGAAATTTTAAAATGAAAATATTTTTTTTTAATATTCCAAAAATAAATAAAGTCTTTACCAAATATTTACATGGTAAATGCAAAAAATAAAAAGTATTTTACTTTTAGAAAATCTATTCACAGATGTTGCATGATTATTTCATTTAATTTAATGATGTCTAAACTTATTAACGCCAGAGATGACCACTATAATTTGCCATCAAAATATAACCGACAGAGTTCTTTAATAAACTAAAAAAGACATTTTAAATTAAAAGTAACACTGGTTTTGACTAGTATAAATAAAATTTCACAAATGAAAAAAAAAATAAAACTCTTCCTCAGGTTTAATTTATAGTCTAATTTAACAAAAAAAAAAGTCATCATTGTTTTTTAATGGAAGTATTTTCCATGACAAAGGTTAAAAGTTCAAAGTATTTTCATTCATGTCAAAACAAGAAATGGTTCCTTTGTCTGATGATTGCTTTGTGCAATTCTGTGGAGGGTAGACATTATTTCCTGTTGGATTTCTATCAGAAGATAGAACTTTTCAGTATCAAATAATTTCCTGTTTTCACAATGACCTTATTGTAAATGAAGACTTGCTTCACCTGAAAAGAGAAAACATATATATACAAATGTATATAAATTTACGTATGTATACAAATGTATGTATTTGGACAGCAACTCTTTTTTATGCATGCTTCATTAAATATAATAGACAAGGAATATTTTGCAAGTCTTTTTTTTGGTACTCATACAATTTATCTTTATTGAGGACTAAATTTAATACTCAGAGGACAGATTCAAGATAAAAGGGACAGAGGAAAACAATGTATAACCTACCTAGCAAGTTTGAAGACAAGATTTACTGGGAGCTACAAAGGAAAAGGAAGTTGTAGAGGGCTGTAGTCACCCATCTCCAAAAGCCTCTTTGCACATAGAGAAACTAAGAAGCTTCCACCTCCTTCATCCCTTACAACAATTGCATTCAGTAACCCTCTACTTTGAGCGGTTCTTGGGCCTTGTATTAGTTGAACTTAAGTTAACAAAAAAGAAGAAAAAATGTATGTGGAGAAATTGTTCAAAGTGATTATTGTCTCAAATGCTTTTGAACAAAACTTTAGCCATATTCAAGAGGAGAGTGTTCATTTTTATGGTCACATGGTAGTACAGTGTTCATTTTATGATCACATGTTATATGGCCACAGTATGGTCAGTATTCAGTTAGTATGTATATATATATATATATATATATATATATATATATATACTAACAATGTATATAAATAGAATAAAACCCTTTGTTTTCATTTTTATTTATCTTATAAAAACCGAAAAGTAAACTAAAGACAATATATGAGAGTAAGTCAGAAATTATCTGCTCTTCCACCATAACATATCTTTAGGTTTATCACACTGCCTTCTGCTGATGTGTGCCTATAGTCAGTACTCTTGTGGCCATGTGATTGAAGTTTGTGCGTGTTAATGCCAGTTTTCTTGCAGCTGTCAGTGTAAATATGGCTACTCTGCCTAGCAGTGTGCACCAAAAGAGAAACAAAGAACAGTGATCTGAACATGTGATGATGAAATGATACTAATTTGGTTTTGGAGCCATTGAAAGTTACAAACTAGTTCCCCCCACCCCCACTTAGCTGTAAGTTAGGTCCGAGGAGAGATCAGTTTCAAGGCTAAGATCATTATCTGTGTATATTTCTGAGATGAGGTATTATGTACATTATTTACATTATTCAGACTATTGTCCTCATCTTTGTCGCCATATTTATGTGATCCTTCAGTATCTGTCTATATTTCCGAGATGAGGTATTATGTACATTATTTACTTTATTCAGACTATTGTCCTCATCTTTGTTGCCATATTTATGCGATCCTTCAGTATCTGTCTATATTTCTGAGATGAGGTATTATGTACATTATTTACATTATTCAGACTATTGTCCTCATCTTTGTTGCCATATTTATGTGATCATTCAGTATCTGTCTATATTTCTGAGATGAGGTATTATTTACATTATTCGGACTATTGTCCTCATCTTTGTCGCCATATTTATTACGTTTTGGCCGTTGTATGCTCCGGCCTTCTTCAGGTGGTTGGAATGTCAAACTTAGCCCTTTATTTCGCTCACTGGGGTAGACTGTTTTAGTTCCACATACTATGTTTTAATGGATGTCAGTTATCTCCTGTTAATTTCCCTCTGAATGTTCTCCACTGCCTTAAACGGGTATTGACAGGATCCAAAGAATGTGAGTTCGACATTCCAACCACTTGAAGAAAGCTGGAGCGTACATTGGCCGAAACGTTGTAATAAATATGGCGGCTAAGATCATTGCTTCAAAATTAAAAATAGTAAATTCACAATTTGCATCCTTGCATCATTTTGATTACTGTTGAATTAAAATTGAGTTTGCATTCAAATGAAAAATTTGTTTCACAGACTAAAGGAGAAAATATTTTAACTCTTGTTTAACCAACTTTGGTCTCATCTGGCTTTTGTAAAGATGAAGCATGACAGAAGGTGTCAGGTACTTTCTAGAGTAATATAAATAGCCGACATTTTTCAAACATCTTTTGCAATGGATCATACATAGGAGTTCCATTTGAGTCTTAATAGATATTTGAAGCAAGGAGCCTCATTCACAGAGCAGCTGTTCATCATGACAGGAGAAATCTCAGTGTCTGATCAATAATGAAATGATACTAGCTTGGCTTTGGGGAGATTGAGAGTTGCAAGCCACTTTTTCCTCCCATAGGGGTTAGAATCTCTGACTGAAGCCAAATCAATCGAGTTTCAATCCTAGCTTGAAGTGATCAGATGTCTAGCCACACTGATGAGCTGTGACACAGTGAAACAGTCTGTCTGTGGATGACGATATTAGCTCCCAAAAATAATCTTCACGGTGATTTGCATCCTTGGGAAAAAATTCTGAATGTGCAGTCACTATTACTGCTGATAATAAAAGACTCTCCAAACTGGATTGAGTTCTCTAGGTTACTAGTGTGTTTATGATAAAATAAATACACAAAAATTCACCTTTCTCCCTGCTGGGCGTTGATAGCCTAGGGGTTAGAATCTCTGACTTATACCAAATCATTCAGGTCTTGATCCTGGAAGAACAATCAGATGACTAGCCACACTTTGAGCTGTGAAACAGAAAAAAACTGAAACTGTTTATTTTGACTATATATATATATATATATATATATATATATATATATATATATATATATATATATATATATATTCCATATAACAGTGGAATAGGGAAAAGCAAAGGAGAGGAAGGAGGAAAGAAGGTGTGAAAGAAGAAAGAGAGGAAGTAGAGAGAAAATAAAAAAAGAAAATTTCAAAAAGAAATCGATTAGGATGAAAGAAAGACACAACCAGACAGGCATGCTATCTTGTGTTTTCTTACTCCTTTACCCCTTTGATCTTTAAAAATGGGTGAAGCTGCTTTCTCTTATTTTATTTTGATGACCTGAGTAAGCTAGTATACAGTTTTCTTTGGTCTAATCTGACTTTTGTGAAGATAGAAAATGGTAGGTGTCAGGTACTTTCAGGAGTAATATAAATCAACTATTTTTCCAGCATCTTTGGCAATATGAGTTCCATTTTCATCCCAATAGACATTTGAAGCAAGGAGCCTCATTGATAGAGTGGCTGTTCATCGTGACTGCAGAAATCTCAATGTCTGAATAGCGATAATGAAAGGATACTAATTTGGTTTTGGAGGTAGTGAAAGTTACAAGCCACTTATTTCCCTTGCTGAGCTGTTAAAGCTAGATCAGAGGAGAGATCAGCTGCAAAGCTCTTAGTTTTTGGAAGTGCATCCATAAACAATAGCCATTTGGGCACTTCAGCGTGATGTAATGGTTAGTCAGCTAGTCTCGTTAGATCAATTACAACTGAAAAGCGGGTTCGATCGTCACTGGGTGACCTTAAACTTTCAGCCGTGTGCCACATCAGAGCTATGCTTAGAAAAATCACTATAAGCAGTGGTCATCTATCTGCATAGATGTTTATGATTTATCTGAGAATGTTCCAAAGTAGATCATTAAAAAAAAAGTAGAAAGAGAATAGGACTAAAGAAAGAGCCAATTAACCATTAGTCCCCTCTCACATCCACCTTAATGATGTACGTTATTTAAAACAAAGGCATTTATACAAAGAATTTAATGTGGATAAAATTACCAAAAGAAATAAAACTGATGACTGACATTGAAAATAATCTTCATTTTATGGGAACGTTTGAGAAAAGTGAAACAGTTCTTACAATAAAGATTTGTGTTCTTTTGAAGAAGGAGCAGGGGAAAAGACAGTGACCAAAGTCTCATTCATCAACAGACAGCCGTTTTTTTTCGAGAGAAAGAACAGAATACAGAAAGGATTTCATTAAATTTCCGTTCCTTTCCATTACAGTGTTGAAAAAAGTAATATCTGAAAGAGAGGAAAGAAAAGAAATTCAAGATTTGCAAAAGAATACTTAAAATAATTGCAAAAAGGAAAAGTTTAGAATTTAAACAAAATTACACATGGAATATTCCAAATTTCTAAGAACTCATACATATCCATGTTTTTTGGCTGAGGCAGGACTGGGATTAATCTTGCACAAAGCAACATGGGTTCTGCTTGACAAAAGAATTTGGCATAATAATTTGAATAAATTATTTTTACAAGGCCAGAATGTTCTTCCTGATGCCCAACTCAGGCATTTACGATAGTCCAAGTACACTGAGTGTTCTTATTGAGATGCCATCTCTAGGAAGGTTGCCATTCAAGGTTTAAGACTTCATCCTAGCCTTTATATATATATATATATATATATATATATGCAATTTTATATACATTATATATGATTAAAAAAAGTGCTCAATATCAGTGATAGAGCTAACATATTTATTGTTTTGATGAGTTTTGACCCTGATTTGATGCCTTTGCATCGTCACACTATTTGTTTGATGATTGCAAAGGGCATGAAACCAGGGTCACAAACTCACATCAATGCAACTTATATATATATATATATATATATATATATATATATATTCACCAAACACAGACACACAGCAGGAATGTGGCCATCAGTAATTATTCAGGGTATGCAGCTTGTGTCCTTTCTGTAGTAAATCTACCAAAAAAAAAAAAAAAAAAAAAAAAGAATATTTTGCATTTGACGCATAATAATCAGAGTAAGCTTTATAATTTTGTTAGATTAGATGCATATTGTGCTGCAGAAGAAAAATGTAACTGCTGATCTATTTTATTCAGGGTAGGCACTGCTTACCTTGCCTACCTAGACAGTATACTTTTTGACTTCCTCATCAGTTTCAATATTTAGAAACATACATTTAATTTAGTATTTAATTTAAGCTGTTAATGTTTTTGGTAAGTCAATAAACTTTAATATTTCTTAATTTTAACCAGTAATTATATATATATATATATATATATATATATATATATATATATGTGAACAATTTCTCAGGGATAACCTGTAGAAAAAGCCAATATGTATAAATGTAAAAGACAATAGGAAACCTCACAAAAAACAACAAATGCACAAGTCATACAGAAAAATAAATTCAACCACAATTTTGATTTTAAAAATTCTACACTCATAAAAAAAGAAAGTAACTCAGAAGGAAAATCTTCAAGAGTGCCACCATTGAATATTATCCAAATATTAATCTATGCTCAGGTTTTTTCCCAATATCACCTTTCCTAACAGAATTACTACTGTCCCAATCTAACGTACACAACTGTATCAAGAAATCAAAAGAAAATTGTTGAATCCGTTAACACAACAATAAAAACAATATTTCTACACATGAAACTACTTGACATAATTTTCAGTTGACAATATGAATACAATAGCATTTTTTAAATTCTTCTAGTTGCTAAGAACATTTTGTTTGTTGTTAATAGTTACTTTGTTTTCAATAAATTCATTTCGTTTTCACCTTGAAAAAGTCTACATTGGACAAAATGTGGGGGGTAATAATACAGTTTTCCTATTGTCTTTTACCTTTATATATATATATATATATATATATTATATGTGTGTGTGTGTGATAAAAATATGGTTTTAAGGCATGCTATATTGATGGGTTAAAATGCTCAATATCAGGGACAGAGCACATGTCATTACAAATATAAAAGTGGACACTGAAGTCAACACCCAGCGGACTGAAACATTGTGAGTCTAACAAGAAAGATGAACATACTGGTTCAAATAGCAAGGCAGATATTAATGCTATTTTAAAGTTTCAGAATTTTACAAATATTAAGAAAATAATTTAAAAATATAAACGTATTTAACACATAGACTACTAAAAATGACTACTACATAGACTACTAAAAATGACTACTACATAGACTACTAAAAATGACTACTACATAGACTACTAAAAATGACTACTACATAGACTACTAAAAATGACTACTACATAGACTACTAAAAATGTGTCACATAGAAGTTATCTCATGCTTGCCATTTTCTGATACATTTTCATCTGCAGGTGCCAACAAGTTTATTTGTGTGAAAACACTTGAGACTTCAAATGAAGCCATAAATCATCTCATGAAAATTTGTATTGCCTAAGTTGGCTATTATAAAGTTGGCATTTGAAATCAGATTTCATAATTGACCTCTGAACAAACCTCACCAAAGAAAAGACAACAATTTTGAGTTATGAAGAAAACAGCAATAGTAGTTGCACAAAAACTGAACAGATTTAAAGTTGTTAGCAATTTATTTGAAAATGTATAACAGAAAGAGGTAACCAGGAAGGCCACCTAAGCTGGTTCCCACCATTGCCTTCTTCAAAAAAGTGGAATTTTGCCTTTGGAGCCTTTAGAAATAAAATTGATCTATTATCACAAGAAGAGTCCAGCCAATTCTCAATAAACTGGCTAGCCTTGTATTTCATTTAAGAAAGAAAGTTCTCTATTTGAGTAAAAGGAACAATAGAAGAAGGTAGTGTTTTCTACTGTAAGGATGATCAATTTACACAGCCTCAGTGGAATGCAATGCTGTTGGTATGATTTTTGGAAAGGGAGTAAAAAAATTTTTTTTCTCCCCAAATCTTCCCTTTGGCATGGGGATCTGTTCTGTGTGGGGAAACTTTTTCAGCCAAATGTCAGGCTGAAGTGGAAGTGGTGGGAAACAAGCAAAACATTTAGTATCATGTGGCAGTGTTAGAGAAGAGTCTTATCATAAATGTTGACTGCCTTTATGGAAGAAACTTTGTATTCCAACAGGATAACAACTATTCACAATGCCAATGTAACAGAGGGAGGGATTGAGTACAAACCTTCCCTTTGGCATGGGGATCTGTTCTGGTGTGGGGAAATTTTGATGAGTTAGCTCATGATTGGCATTTTCTGATATATTTTCATCTGCAGCTGTCATCAACAAATTTATTTACAGTGATAATTTTAATACAAAAACAATGATAAGACTTCAGTTAAAGCTATAAATCAACTCATGAACGTTTTTTATTGCCTAAATTGGCTATTATAAAGTTGGCGTTTGAAATCGGATTACACAATTGACCTCTGGCAGTCAACATGTTGAACATCTATCTTTGTTCAAAAGGTGAGTTTAAAGCCAGCACAAGGCTATGATGGGATGCAGAAAAGTTTTGCAGCACCAATTTTTTAAATGTAAAGGACTTGCCAGCCTTGAAGTTCAGCTTTCAATATTTTTGCATCTATTTGGGAAAATGCACAACTACTTCACCCACTGAGCAGACTTCTTTCAAAAGAACATGTACCTATTCTGTCTGTTTACATTAAACCTGAAATTTCCAAGATTTCATCAGATGACAAAAACAAATTAATACAGACTAGATGGCGGCTTCTTCAATCTAGCCAATCTATACGAAACAAGTATTCAGAAATGAGTATTCAGAACCTGCTCTATGCTGACAACTCCGCCCTCGTCTCTGAACCTCTTGATGACTTGCAGGAAATCATTACCAGCTTCCAGAGCTTCAAAAGGTTCCAACCTGAAGATTAATATAAAAAAGACAGAAATCCTATATATCGTCCCAATGATCTTTATATGGAGCTGACAATCATGACTGAGGGTGAACTATTGAATTCCGTTCACAATTTTCTTTACCTCGAAATACATTCACTACAGAGATCACCCTCAGCACTGAAATCAACAGATGAATCCAGGCAACGAGTGCTGCTTTTGGTGCCCTGTTGGATCAGAGGAATCAAGCTTGTCACTAAGTGCAAGGTCAATCGAGCAGTTTGCATTTCAACATTCAATGTACGTCATGGAAGCAGTGCCACCATTTGTAATCCACCATGCATATCTCATGGGAAGACAATGTCACTAGCTGCCAGAGCAAACATGCCAAGTCTAGAAGGCCTGCTTGCAGCAGTGGGACTGTTGGACTGCGCATATCTATCATTTGGATAATTCTCAATTGATGAAAATCACTCTGTATGGTGGACTAAAGTGCTGGAAACGGCTATAAAGACTGCATCAAGACCGACCTGAAGTATATAGTAGTAACAGATATTAATGACCAAAATAAAAGGTATATAGAATGTACTGAAGGTTCTTTCAAACGCAAATGGTACAATCATAGGTCATCATTTAAGCTAGTAAGTCTTAGGTGCTCTACCAAATTTGCTGACCATGTGTAGAATTTAAAAGAAAAAAAACAACAGGGATCCAATTGTAAAGTGGAAAATTTTAAAGAAGCAAAGCCTTATAACAGCCAAAACAATATTTGCAACCTCTGCTAACAGGAAAAATTAGCAATAATGATATTTCCAGATCCAAAGAACCTTTTGAACCAGAAATCCAAAGTCTTCAGTCCTTGCTTACATATTAGGAAATTCCTATTAAGCACATGAGGCTGGATAAAAAAATATGTACATTTCAATTAAACCCCCTCCCCCACTGATACTTTTATAATATCCTTGTTTTTCTTCTCTTCTTCTTCACATTTTCCTCCATTTTTTTCTATTACACTCAACATTGTGTGTCTGTTTATTTATTTAAAAAAACAAAACAAAAAAACTTATAGTGTTCATTATTTTTTTTTTTTAAATAAAGCATTAAGATAAAAGTTTTGATAAAAATCCCCTGAGGATATCATAAGGTTGAAACCAAGGTAGTGGATTCAATTGATCTCCTTAATATATACATTTAATAAGCTGGTTAATGAAATTGGAGGAATAAAAAAAACAATAAAATGATAACAATATTGGCAATAAAATTTATGATAATTATTATATTAGCCTCTTGACTAAATTTTTAACCCCTCAGAAAAGTGAGTTCCACTTCTTTGTTTATTCCTAGTCTCGTTGAAAAAGGACACAGACATGTCTGAATATTCTGACTTTAAAATCTTTTTCGTCATGCTTCAATTTAGTCAAATAAGTATCACCAATCTTATTGCCAATATTGTTATCATTTTGTCTTTTTATTCCTCAAATTCCATTAACCGACTTATTAAATATATATATAAAGCTAAATCTAGGAGGGGATGGGATGGGATCACAAGTCTTGAATAACAACCTTCCTAGAGATGATATCTTGATAAGAACAAACGATGTGCTACTGTGACTGAGCTGGGCATCAGGAAGGTTATCCAGCCTTGTAAAATCTTGGCTCAACTCATTATATCAAGTTTCAGTATCTTGTCAGGAGTATATAGAGAGGATTGCGGGTCCGAATCTGGCCCAGAATGTTTTTAATTTGCTCATGGAGTTGGCTTGATTCCAAAATGATATGATGTTTTGGGTTATGGCCTCTAGGAGTAAAGTTGAAAAAGTGTGACACAGTGACTCACTGACATTCACATTTATTATATAGAAGAAGATGAGCTATTGAAAGTTAGAAAGTTGTGCTCCTTTAATTGAAAATGTGTGACACACTGACATTTGTATTTATTATATAGAAGCCAAAATGCAAAAGAGAGAAACTAACCGTCATTCAGATTTTCTGAGGAGACAACTTCTAGAATATCAAGTTGCAGTGGCGATTGCTTTGGTGCCTCATACCAATCATTGATGGTTTGCAAATGTTTAGCAATGTTTGCTGGACAAGATAAAAATCCTGAGAAGACCAATAACTGCCTAAGTGACAATCCACCAGGACTGGCAAAGAACTGTAACTGAAAATTGAAAAACAAAGAAAATAATTATTGTGTTAAAACAGTTGGCTTTTCTTTTCCCCATTAAATAGGTTAAATAATAAATTCTTTGAGAATTTGTTTTCACAGTCAGGTACGAAAATTTTTACATGAGCCAGTTTTATTACATTAGGATTTTGTGATTAATTTAACATTTGCTTTTATTAGTTTACTAGCCGTAAAGCCAGGCGTTGCCTTGGGATGTAACAGTAAGAGATAGATCAAGTATCGACCATCATAAAGACTGAAAAATAAAATTGACAAAGATTATTGTTTAAGGTTGACGGACATGCATGTCTTAATTAATTTTTTTTTGTTTTTTTTTTATGAATTGGTCAAACCCAAACTCAAACAAAAACATTGTTTTCAATCGTTATGAGTCTACCGATTGAATAGAATTTTATTATAAAGAATTGTCTTGTAAATGGAATTTTTAAAGCATTCTGAATGTAAAAATAAAGAAAAGTGTGCAAGACAATAAGAAACACTACCTGCCAAAAAAAAGTGAAGTTTTGTTGAAATCAGTTGAAAAATGTAAAAATCTGATCTCATATATAAATGAACACACACACACAAACAACCAACCTGGATTTTATAATAAGTAAAACTCGATAACTCGATATTAATAAGTATAACTTGATATGAGTTGTCCCCCTTTTATTAATGCCTCTTAATTGTGTTTTCAAATTGATTTCGTGCAAAAACAATGGTGTTTTTCAATTTTGACGCTGTCAGAACCATAAAGGTAATTTTAAATAGTCCTGTGAAGTTTTGCTGAAATCGGTTGAAAAATGTAAGAAATCCGATCCAATATATAAACGTACAGACACACACACACACAACCTGGGTTTTATAATAAGTAAGATTATTAATATTTAATTTGTTTTTACAATTTTTTTTTATTAATAGTTTAACATTTTTCTGTGCCATTATTTTTGCTTTTTATTCTGAGTCAATAAACTTTTCATTATTATTATTATTATTTTATTCCACGAAAAAACAACATCCTTTGAAAAAACCAGAAGACAAATTGAAGAGATGAAGAGAGCCCAAACCAGAGCTCTCCATCCCCTGAACCCCGCTACCTGACCATGCGTGGCTGCAGACATATCTTCAGTTCCAACATAGGACACCTTTCACACAGAAGGAAATTTTGATGAGGACCCCCAGTACTCAGCAACGAGTCCCGCCAATGACAATTATTTTATCACCACTCCATCTTATTATTACTCCAACAACCATCATTATTATGATTATTTTATAACTAATTTTACTCTAGTTTATTACTGATACTTTTTATTCTAACACTCTGGGTCAATACAATCTTCATTATTACTATCATTTTGTGACTACATCATTCCACATAATTATTGTGCTTTTTATCTCAGTAAAACGATACAGAAAAAATAATGAATTAAATGATTCATTTAATTTTATTTTCTATTAAAAAAATTAAGTTACTAATGATTTCATTTATAAGTGTATGTGATTAGCAACTTAATTAGCAAAAATAGATCATTGGTCATATATTCATCTGATAACTTTTATTAATGAATTTTTAACTGTATATTTCAGGAGTACCCTAGCTTTAATATATGTATACCCCTAACATCTACCAGGATATCAAAAGTTGACAGCACTGAATTAGATATAGAGATGAGAGAGCCATGTTGTTTTTTTTTTTGTTTTTTTTTTTTGTTGAGGTAGGATTGGGATTTATTTCACAATAAATCCCAATGTGGATCCTGCCTGAGGATTTTTTGTCATAATGATTCGAGGCAAGATTTTTACAAGGCCAGATGCTCTTCCCAGTGACCAGTTTAGATGCTGCTCATGATCATCCAAATAGGCAACAACCACCCATCTATGTGGCAGATTTTACTGGGTTACATATTACCAGTAACAGTTCTAAGCCTGACCTAACTCATTACTAATTTACTAACAAAAATTAAGGATGAAGACATTAAAGAATAAAATCCTTTTCTTTCAAGATGAAATGCACAGGATGTCTTTCTCACAAAATATATCATACTATATATATATATATATATATATATATATAAAGAGCACAAAATAGCATACACTGAGTGCTGATGATAATAATAAAATAATACTTGATGTAAAATAACAGTGCAAAATTTATAGTTTGATGCAACTATGAGCAGATATTATAGATTGAGAAAATTTGATGAAGGCGTGTGTTTAAAAGCAGTAATTCGAGCTTTGCTAACTTGGAAATCCTTTGTGGCTGAACGGTCATAGCCCGTCAGGCTTAGTGATGGTTCTGTATAGGATACAGTTTTGATTCCTGCCAGAGGACAAATATTTTCAAGAAATTTCTTGAACATTCAGGCCGGTAAATTAAAAAAAAAAAAAAAAACAGATCACTTACTCAAATAAGAGTATCCATAAAAAAACAGATAAACAGAAAATATATAGATATATAATGAGGTGCTGAAAAGTTCTCAGTCCAATCCCCTTTCAGAAAACTTGATCAAACATCAAATTGGAGTGGGGGGGGGGGACTTGCTGAAAACTTTTCAGCACCTCCTTATATGTGTGTGCATCTGTCTAAAATAATCAAGCTGTTAAAAAAAAAAAAACACACAATTCACATCAAATATCTTCCACCACAGGGTATGGCATTTTCACATGGGAATAAATCTTTAATAATTTTAAAAAATATATGTCTTCTAGAGTTGTCTACCTCTTTGAAATTTTTTTAAACATGACATCATTTATATGATATGGACATTAAATTCTTGATACTGACCACAACAATTGAAAGTACAAGAATAAAAACATTTTTTTTTTAAGTTTAGCCACAAATTTAATCCAGATGTGTAACATCATATTTAGAAATAAATTGTATGAAATTAACATACAATTTACCATGCTTTTCCTGTTATTTGTGTACTTTTTATTTCCTGTCAAGTATGCTTTTATCTCCAGGAACACAAGGCCAATTTCTGTTGCTATGATTGAGACCCCCACAACAGATGCACTCTATCTGAAAATAATTTACATGTACATGTATATACTTGGAGATGATGAGACAAAGTGAAGAAACTTTTAAGCAACACTTTTTGCTGCTGTGACGCATGTTGGGTTCGGCTTCTTCAGGTCAGAAAGACAAAATTATGTACAAGGAAAATGCGATGGAATTTTTGAGGATAAGCAGAACAATAAATTAAGATCTGATAAACAGAGACCAGAAAGTGTTTGTTTGTCTGTTATTTAGATATCTATATATCAGTGCCATTGGCATCTATTATATATATATATATATATATATATATATATATATATATATATATATATATATACATATATATATATATATACACATATATATACATATATATACACATATATACATACATATATATATACATATATATATATATATATATATATATATATACATACATATATATACATATATACATATATACATATATATACATACATATATACACATATATACATATATGTACACATATATACATACATATATATATACATATATATATACATATATGTACACATATATATATACATATATGTACACATATATATATACATATATATACATATATATATACATATATATATATATATATATATATATAATATATATATGATAAACTTACCTTCTTGAAACAGTCGTTGGCCAACAGTATTAACCCAGCTGTAAATCGTGTCATCAGCGGGTGAAACAGAATTATCAGATCATCCTTGGGCTTCAAGTTCTACAATGGAATCAAAGGTTAGAGTTATTTCTTTGTACAAAAAGAATACAACAGCAAATTCCCAAACATGAAAGAAAAAATCTTTTCCAGATTATATTAACCAAATTAAATATTTTACATCTAACATAAACGACCTGCAGAGATTGTGCACCTGACAATGACAGATGCATTCTGAGTGTATGTTGATAGATTTTGTTTTTTTCTTTTTTGACTAGGTAATATTTTTCTTTATTTGATAAAAAGAAATAAAAGAAAGTGAAAGTATCACTTGTAAATTTAAAAAAAAAAAAAAAAAAAAAATTGAAAAGAAAAACTTAGAAAAATGTGATAATGTTTAATTTAAAAGATTTGGATCATTTTTTTTTTATTTTAGTTTTAGGAATTACCAGTCAGGTTATTAGTACTTTTAGTTGAACTTAACATCCTCTTACACTATTTCTCATTTTTTTTTTTTTTTTTTCATCTTATCACACTAAGCAAGGCAACAAAGTCACTAACACGTGACAGAATATAAGAATATTATTATTAAGGAGCAAAAAGACAGGCGATAACTGTTGTAACATAGGGAAGGTTACTGAATAGAATAATCACATGAAGGTTGATAATGAAAGATAATACTTAGAACAAGAACAACACATATAAGATTCACTAGCGGTGCATAGATGAATTAGCTTCTAGAAGTGAGTCAAGTGAATTCCATAATGAATCTCGAACTACAGACAAACATACAGTATTTACCACTGTATTTATGTGAATGGGGACATACCCATTACTGTCTGTAGGTATGCTACAATAATAACAATTGACATTGCATTTAAATTTTTGAAAAACAAACTTGACTGGAAAGCAACAAGTCAGAAGAGAGTTCCACAAGCGAGAAGTGCACAGGAAGAAATTGTTAGGTTCAACCATAAGTTATATGCTAATTGGTTCATCTATTGTACTTCTCTCTTCCAGCTTCTTGATTCCCAGTTTGATCTTCAAAACCTTAAATGCAATATCAATCGTTTATGTTCTGTCTTCTTAATTCTTGTTCTTTTACTGTTTGCTTTCCTTAATAGTGTTTTTAATCATATTCTCTATCCATTTCAACTGTAAAATGATGAGGTCTTGCCACCAATCTAGTAATGCACTTAAATTCATAGAATCTCAGTACTATAGAGATTGTTCATCAGAACAATTATCATAAAAGTATTTATAGAAAAGGCATAGGGAAGCTACATTACAGTGATAGGAAATTGACTGAAGCTGAAATACCAGGTTAGGGTCAATAACATTGCAAATTCTTCTTTGGATTTTATCAAGGATCTCTAAATACATCGCAGGAGCACTGGATCATATTTGGCAGCAATATTCTAAGCATATACTTGAAGCTGAATCCAAATAAGTTATAAATCTATTTATAAATTATAAAGAACCACATTGACATAAAAAAAGACCTTGACTAGACTGTGTCTGATGTAGATAAGTGTTGTGTCCTCTTGAATAATTGATTGCTTTGAGAAGGCAGTCTCTCAGCAGAAATGGCTTTACTGATAAATTTGCATAACAGGTGTTATGCTAATTTGCAAGAAAATGGTAATGGTCGATCATCAACAAATCCTAGCTGATCTCTGTGGCTACAGGTATATGAAATTAATGTTTTTAGTGTCAACAGGTGGGTGAGTTGGTACTGATGAGTGGGAGATTTTACTCGGATTTGCAACTGTTCATTTTTCTACAAAAAATCAAATCAATCAAATTCATTTCTTTGAATACAAATAAAAAGGTTTATTTGAAACTAATTATTTTTTTTCACTGCTTCACAAGTGCTCTCAAGTCTGGAATAAAAGGGTAGGTTGGAATATTCCTTCGAAATTTATTTGTTTTGGGAACAGAAAAAAAGGTTGGAATAAATGGACAGGTTGGAAAAAAGTGGAAAATAAAAAACAATGGATAGGTTGGAGAAAGAGAAAAAAAAATAGCTGGCCAGTGTCATCTATTTTGGATGGGAGAGTAGTAACCCTTGATTTTCCCTCTTCACACAATATATAGCTAACATCATCATCATCAATTGTTGTGTGTGTATGTGCATATATATCTATATAACACAATGTAACACTGGTAAATGAAAAAAGGTTAAGATGGAATACAAGCTTGGAATAGAATGAAAATGGGTTAAGAAAATGGAACAATAGATAAATTAAGGGAAGAAGCAAAATTGCTTTTATTTTTGAAAGTTTTTTTTTTTTTATGCAGAGACGGCTTGAATAAATTGACTTTGTTGTTATGGGGAAAAATATTACCAAAGAGGCCATCTGAAAAAAGATGGACTGACAATTTGACTGATAGCACTGCCTTAAAGTGGAAATTACAAAAACATATAAGGGCCAGCTGTAAAAGAAGGTTGATTGAGGTAAAATTTGGTAATTTTAAAGCAAAGGAAAATGGAGAAAAAAAATGATTGATGTCAAAAATCAGAAGACAGTAAAAACAATCCCAGAGAATGGATTTTATACTTCACTTAAGAGAAATTAAGATATGAGGATTACGGTAAAAGAGAAGCAGCTGGTTAATTTCTGATTATAAAGACAAGGCCCCAAACTGGGAAAAATGTGCTGACGACAATGTAATAAATAGGATGAAAGACCAAAGATAAGTCCAATCTGTTCACCTGTGGAATTTGAAAATTGAATTTATCAAGATAACAACTAAGGAAAGAAAGTTAGGTAAAATACCAAGAGAGAGAGACAGAGGGATTGGTTGGTTGGGTTTTATGGCATATCAACCACTATAGGTCATTTAATGACAAATTTATATATATATATATATATATATATATATATATACACATACATATATATTAAATATATAGTACTATTAAATGTATATCTGGCAACATTACTTTTTCAAAAACATATAGCTGGCAACATTATTTTTCCAAACACGTATAGCTGGCAACATTATTTTTTCAAAAATGTATAGCTGGCAACATTATTTTTCCAAACAAGTATAGCTGGCAACATTATTTTTTCAAAAACGTATAGGTGGCAACATTATTTTTTCAAAAATGTATAGCTGGCAACATTATTTTTTCAAAAATGTATAGCTGGCAACATTATTTTTTCAAAAACGTATAGGTGGTAACATTATTTTTTCAAACACGTATAGCTGGCAACATTATTTTTTCAAACACGTATAGCTGGCAACATTATTTTTTCAAAAACATACAGCTGGCAACATTATTTTTTCAAAAATGTATAGCTGGCAACATTATTTTTTCAAAAACGTATAGGTGGTAACATTATTTTTTCAAAAACGTATAGCTGGCAACATTATTTTTCAAAGACGTATAGCTAGCAACATTACTTTTTCAAAAACATATATCAGAGGCCTTGCTGTTGGATGTAGTTTATCGTCATACTCAGGATGTGGATGTAGTTTATCGCCATACCCAGGATGCGGATGTAGTTTATCGCCATACCCAGGATGCGGATGTAGTTTATCGCCATACCCAGGACATGGGTAAGGTCTGGAAAAAACTGGGAGTTCACTATTTGCCCATAGCTGGGACCCTAACAGGTGCTACCACCCCGGGTCAGGGTGGACCTGGGAACACCAGCAATTAAGAGGTGGTTCTACGCTCCTCAAAACTCCTGATCAGAGGCCTTGCTGTTGGATAGAGTTTAACGTCATACCCAGGATGAACAGAGGGATTGCCTCCACCCATTAGCAGGTAATGGTACAAGGCACAAATAAGAGAAACATAGAGTTATCAGGGTGGGTTAGTGCCTGTGGCCACTGCCCATGGAAATTTGGAAGGATAATTAATTTTTCAAAGCCAGACAGCAAAGAACTTTTGTTAGAAGACAGCAGAAGTCCCTAATTCCCAAACATACCAGTCTTGGGTAAAAGTCAATATAAGCAGAGCACTGAAGCGATACAGAGAGAGTTGCAGAGTGGAGAAGCAGACAGTGCAGACATGCTGCTGAAGGCCATGTGACTTGCTGCCAAAGAGAACTCCCGACTTCAGCCTTGTTTCAGACTTAGTTAAAATGAGCAAAGTGCCACATTAGAATTCAAAGTAGGAAGAGTTAATATTTCTGTACAATAAACCGCATAGAAAACTGAACTGAATAATTTCCTGATTCCTTTTATTTCGTCTACAAAGAACAGTGCTGATTTTTCTTTTGCATGTGACATAGCTTCACTGAGGTTCAAACCAATGCAACAATTACTGACAAAGACTCAATCTTTACTGGCTCCAAGATCAAAAAGTACAACATGGCAGAGCAGAACAAAAACTGGGATAGCCATTTCAACAACCAGCAGCAGTATTGACCACCGTAAGAAATGATCAGGGAACGACTGGTGCGAAATGTTATATATATATATATATATATATATAAAATTTAAAAAAATTTATTAATTATATTGCTCTGTAATAATAAATACATTGAGCTCTTTTTATGGATCAGTTTTAATATTTTATATTACTAGGATCCACTTGGATTATATACAAATGGATTTATTACCTTTATTATATATGCAAAATTTGCACTAAAAGTTGTTTTTTTCTCATGAAGCAGTTCAACTAATTTTATGAAATCTGGTGCATTTTATTATCATAACCTTGTATAATAATTATCCACATTTTTTCCAGTTAATTGTGTAAAAGATGAGTGTTGAGGAAAGCAAACATCAAAGGGTGTGTGTTATGATAAACACCTATTTTCATCCACAGAAGATTTCAAACATAGTTGGAGTATCCCTATGGATACTTTTTAATGTGTAGAAGCGAATGACTATGAGGGAAACTATTCAGAGAAAGCCTGGAAGTTGGCGAATCAACAAGAAGCGCAATAATGATTTCATCAACACTCTCAAATCCTTTAAAATCACAAAAGAGACCCAACATAATACATGAGAAAATTAGCTGATGCAACCAGTATTTGCTGGAAAAAAGATTCATACTCAAAAATATTAATGACCAAAATCTACTTAATAAATGAAATGAACTC